TAGTACCAACAGGGTTTATACCAATTTATCACAGTTAATGCTGAAACAAAAATATTTAAAGTATAGTTCACTACTTCAATGACACCAAGATTTACTGTATTCCGAAAATCTACATCGTAATAGTTCACTACTTCAATTTCACCAAGATTTACTGTATTCCGAAAATCTACAACGTAATAATTCACTACTTCAATTTCACCAAGATTTACTGTTTTCGGAATACAGTAAATCTTGGTGAAATTGAAGTAGTGAATTATTACGTTGTAGATTTTCGGAATAGTGAATTATTACGTTGTAGATACTTCAATTTCACCAAGATTTACTGTATTCCGAACATCTACAACGTAATAGTTCACTACTTCAATTTCACCAAGATTTACTGTATTCCGAACATCTACAACGTAATAGTTCACTACTTCAATTTCACCAAGATTTACTGTATTCCGAATATCTACAACGTAATAGTTCACTATTTCAATGTCATTGGTGTTTATTATCGTAATTACTTAATATTCGTAATAACAATTTCATCGATGAATCAACTTCATTTATCTCTTCCCTGGTGGGCTTTTGTGTGTGTGTGTGTGTGTGTGTGTGTGTGTGTGTGTGTGTGAATGTATGATAGTCTATACTTATAGTGTTATGAAATAATAGTTTTCTTTTTTATGATATGTTACTATATTTCTGCAAAAAATATATACTTGATAAATGTTACATACCTGGATTTAACAAGTTTTTGTTTGACCGTTTTAGTCCGGTATAATGCGATATATAATATTATTTCGGTGAAACTAGGAATGCCTTTCTGCAGTGTTTACGATACATAATTCAAAATGTATTCGATAGAAATCGGCATAAACAGCATTTGTAGTGTCATTTAGCAAGCACTGATTGTAAAACGTGATAACATACGCACAAGTCCGGGCAAATATTTTTGAAAATATTTATCTCGAATTATCTCGAGTAAATCAGGAAGGGGGTTAATCTGAGACTTCACCCGCTTAATCAATAAAATTTCTTTAATACTTATGATTGCTTTCATTACTGCCTCTCGTCATAATCAAGCGACTGTTCTTTATTTCTACGTTGTAGGTATCTGTTGTCAGCTAGTAGACTTGCATGTTCCCACACTCTAGTGGTGGATCCTAGCATTACAACTACATTCATAAAAAATTTTTTTGTTCAATTCAATCTATTTTCAGGTTTGAAAATAACTTGTTTGTATTTGAGGGTAAACTCGAGGAAAAAGATTATGCAATCATTTTCTCACTAAAAGAACCACGTTTTCCGGTGAAAGGCAGTACCACTGATATCGATAAACTCTGGCACTCCTAAATATATTCTTATGATCTTGTCTATACATCCTATAAATGTTTTTTTTTTTTTCAATAAACACATTACATTCTTCATTTATTTATGAAAATATTCATAAGGACTTGTACTTATATGAGATAAAATGAGTATCATTGAAGTATATAATCTTGTGAAAGTTTTTTCTTTTTCACGAAAAACTTCACAGTCCAATGTTCCCTAAAAATCCAAGAAAGCAAGTCGTTGAATTTCTCGACGTCCTATCGTAAACTTTATATTTTTTATGTCTACACAGCGTGGTAACAAGTAAATAGACACCACCTTTTCTGAAAAATGAAAATTTTCAGTCATATTCACATGAAATGATATATGTATAATTGAATTAATATCAAGTAGATCTTCCTTTCGCTTCGTGAAGTCTTTGGGGCATCGTGAGAATCATCTCTTTAATTTTAG